GTCTGTCTGGCTGTCTGTCTGTCTGTCTGTCTGTCTGTCTGTCTGTCTGTCTGTCTATCTATCTATCTATCATCTGTCTGTCTGTCTGTCTGTCTGTCTGTCTGTCTGTCTGTCTGTCTGTCTGTCTGTCTATCTATCTATAATTTTCATTCATTCATTCAATTATCTTGGTTTTTAATGGTAAATGATAATAAATTTTAATAGGCATGATGCTTATAACCCTTATAATATTCAATAGAATATGCCACGGTGATTCTCTCGCAAAAGTCGTCAGGCTTTGAAATTATTTGGCCAGTATCACCTGGCAAAGTGCCCTTTATAATTTGTGAGAATCATATTTATATAACATTCAAGATTTCAGCTCAGTCAAAGAAAGTATTATCTGTATTATCTTCACCAAATTACCATAAACTAAACACAGAACGGGACAAAAACAGCTCACATTCGTTTGAATTCCAGGCCAATGGTAGCGGCACTCTCAGTCTATCTACACCCTCCAGAAATTTCGTAGAAAGCAGCATCTCTTCGCAGTCTGCCTCTTCCTATTAAACCAGACCTCTAAGCACGACAGCTTAGTGCTATCACCTCAGGCCTACCCACCATTTCCAACATGGGGTTGAACCCAATTATCCCCCAAATTAAAATGAACAGACTTGGCACGGGGAACAATTACTGCTGCGTCTCCATTCCACATGCTAAATGGGCCAAGCAAAAGCAGTCCCTTTTTGCCCATGCTGGCCAAGGACCAAATGTCTGAATAGTATTTGGGCTGTGCTTACAATAGTAATGTATGTGGGTAATTGGGAGGTGAGAGGTTACACCAGTCATTCCATTCGCTCTGTTTTTCTTTGCTTCAGAAGACAGGAAGCTGTTCGTGGGGATGCTGAACAAACAGCAGACGGAGGAGGACGTGTACCGTCTTTTCGAGCCCTATGGAGTCATCGAGGAGTGTACTGTGCTAAGAGGTCCGGATGGAAATAGTAAAGGTGAAATTATGTCACTTTTTATATATGACACTGTATTATCAGTCAGCATGAAATCCAGTCATTTCCGGAAGATAATATCAAACCCCTACCAACGTTTTTTTTTTTTTCTCTTTGCGTATTGTTAAATATAATGTTCAAATTTAATGTTGACATTTTATGCTGTCCAAGAACCAACAGTTTGTTCTGAGTTGTCGCTCGTTCAACATTGAAGGCTCTTAAGAGACGGAGAAAAACCACATATTTGGGCATTCAACTTTTTATAGACTCCATTGTTTCCCCACCGAGGCTTTAGGGACACTGTAAGACGCTAATACAGCCTGGCATTTGGAAAAGCACTGTGGGAGTGCAAGTTTTACGAAAATTGCTGTAGGATTATTTTGTGCTACTTAGGGGGTGGATCTCTGAATATATCCTGTCTTATGGAAGAGAAGAATAGATGTCAAAACACTCCCTGTATGATGAGACAAGAAAACTACATTTCATTTAGCTCTTAATGTGTTTTATTTCAAACCCTGTTTCTGCCAATAATGTGCTTAATTCTTAAATAAAAACTGTATAAAACATGTTACGCTTGTATAAGGCACATTAAGACCTATCCTTAATATTTTGACAGCTTCTTCAATGGCTTGCAACACGACTGCTCTTGAATCTCAAATGGGTTTGAATCCTCGTGATGAATATCTGTGGCGGTGTTTAAAAAGATATCAATTATCCTGTATTTGGTGTTTAGTTTGCATAGATGAGCATGTGGCAGTAAATAGCACACTTTTCACATCAGTACAGTCTCTAGAGGAGCCGCTTACTTACCGTTGGAGGGCTTTCTCTCTCCAGTGTTTTAATGTGCTTCTCTACACTGTGGTTAAAGCGTTTGTGTGCCTTTGTGTGTGTGTCTTTTTTCTATCAGGCTGCGCCTTTGTAAAGTTCTCCACACACGCTGAAGCTCAGTCTGCAATCAGCGCCCTTCACGGAAGTCAAACCATGCCAGTGAGTACACACTCCTCTATAACACACTCACTCACACACACACATACGCATACAGACACAGAGGTTTGTTTTTGTGAAAAGTGGGGACATCCCATAAGCGTAATGGTTTTTCTACTGTACAGACCGTATATTCTATTGCCCTACACCAACCCTACCCCTTACAGGAAAGTTTGTGCTATTTCAGATTTTCAATACACTCCATTCTGTGTGATTTATAAGCGTTTTGAAAAGTGGGGACATGGGGTAATGTCCTGAAAAGTCACCTTCTCCTTGTAATACCTATGTCATACCTTTGTCATTATACAAATTGATGTCCTCATTTGTCACAAAAACGCACACACAGACACACACACACAGACAGAGAAAACCTCTTATTTTCAGTGTTGCATTTTTTCTTTGTACTTTCTTTCTACTTTGATGTTCCTCCTGAAATCAGGTTGCAATGACTTTCATTCATCTGTATATTCTGTACATTCTAGGGTCACTGTATTATTACAAGGGTCAAAATCCTTTAATCTTTTTTTTTTTTTTTTAAATCTTGTCTTTAGTTCTTAGAAATGCATTCTTAGTATTCTTTAGGTTTCATGTGGTTTCTTCAAACAAAAAAAAGTGTCATTTTAAAGCTTATATTTATTTAAAATGGCATGTGGTGTAACTGTCAAGTAAAAAGTAAAAACATTTCTTACATCTTGAATACATAGGTTTTTATGTTTTTGAATATATTTTCTAAAGTATAGTATTTTTTTTAATCAAATATCATGAATTAATAATTCATAAATATCATTATTTTTGTTGGGGAGTTGCACCACATGACAATTTACATCCTGAACTAATCTGGTTATTAAAGGCCAATTCACACTGCACCGACAAACGCCGACAGACACGTTGGCCGCTGGATTTAGAATTTTATGAAAAATAACTGTCATGTTCACACTGCCCCAACAGACACCAACAGATTTCAAGTCAGGGAGAGTTAACTAGGGGGGAACATGGATGATCTTGTAACAACAATCAAAATGATACTGTTATTAATGTCTTTGGTAATATTGTAAGGCAGTTTTATTATAATAATAATATATATTTATAATTATATTTATAATTTCCGTTGTGAAATTTCCCAAGCGCTGTAGCGATCGATCTGATCGCATTCGGCCACACCCACCGCATAAAGCTCTGGCCTCTCCTCCCAAAGATCCAAAAACTGTTCCTCTTTCTGGTTTGTCGAGAAACCTGCCATTTTTAAAGTTATTTTCCTAAGCGCACCCAGCACCTACTTGCAGTCTTGCCTCATTGTCATGGCAACGGTTCGTGGCCAGGTCAGATTACGTCAGAGTTTGTTGTTGTTTGTTGGACATTCCACGACCCAACAAATGCCGATTAAACATGTTCGGTAGGGTTAAAACCAACTCCGACCAACGCCAACAAACACAGACAGGGGTAACACACTGATCCAACAACCTCCGACAGACTAGTCTGTTGGCGTTTGTCGGTGCAGTGTGAATTGGCCTTAAGGTTGTAAAAAGAAAAATGTTGCAAATAATTATTAGTGAAATTGCAGGGATGTATATATGTAACATTTATACATTGTTTGCCAAATCGAAGTCATGCGGTGTGACCAACAATTTTTTTGTGTTGTTTGTTTGTTTTGTTGGTCGAACCACATGAATTCTTGCCAGACAGGTTTTTCAAATATAAACAAATAATAAGCAGAAGTTTTTTTTTTTTTTTAGTGGTAGTAGTAGTGAACCAGGCAATCAACTCGATTGCAAACAGTTAAGAACAAATCAGTCACTTCAACTTACGAAACTGCATATTTGGCCATATTGTTTTGTTGAATAGCTGCATTGCCAGCATATCAGCACGTCGGCCATTTCAATCTCAAGGACTGGACGCTGAGCCATAAAAAGCCGGCTATTTAGCACAGTCTGTCTGAATCACACAGCTATTCAGTCACACACGCATAGTTCGGCTCTCAGAAGTAGTCACACGCTGCTGTTTTATTTGCTAAAAGACTCCGGTTGGATATAGACGAGCTATGAACTGTCAAAATGCATTTGAGTTTTTTTTTTAATTTTTCACAATGCAGTGACATTTTTAAAGAAACAGTTGACCCAGAAACAAAAAAAAAACTGTCATAATTTGCTATTCGCCGCAGTGTGATTCCAAACCTGTATGACTTAGTTTCTTCTGTGGAACACAAAAGGAGATGTTTTGAAGAATGTTCTAGTCGTTTTATTCATTAAAAAATGCATGTAAATCATTTTTATGTGAACTACCGCTTTAAGAGAAAGAAATGTGCAGAGAAGAAGCATAAAGAGATGGATCTGTGTTGTGATCCGCTCTCTGTATAACCTTTAGGGTCAACCGAGGTGCAAATGATTCAGGGACATTGAAATGTAAACCACAGTCCTGAAATCTTCACCTCACACATGCGCTCAGACATCCTTTCCTCTCTCTCTCTCTCCTCTCTCCTTCCCTCCATCCTCCCGGGACATTAGGCAATAGACTTGTTTACCTCACCTTTCACCACATTGACTGGTGAATTATTCATTGGCATGTACTGAGGTGGGAGTGGAGGAGAGAAAAAGAGAGAAAGCGGGAAGGAACGCGAGATAGAAAAGTAGAAAGAGAGAGGTGGAGAGACAGGGGAAGAGTGGAGGAAGCTCATGGGGGAGCGTTGGAAAAGGTTTATAGTCATCTCGGTAGGTAAATTGATTATGGAAAACCTTTCCGGCCTCCATTCTCTCGAGTCTGAAGTTGTAGAGGGAGCGGTCACGACTCGTGCGGCTCCCAGGTGCCAAAGTGAGATGTTTAACCGAGATAATGGAGTTCTTCTCAAGGTAGAGCTTGATGAAGCACTCATCCATCTGCAAACTCTTCAAAAGAAGCAATGGCAAACTTGCCGAACACCCACCAGCCTCTCACGCCCTCGGGCCGCCAGCAGTTCGCAGTTATTAAAGTAACACTAGCACCAGACACGATATGACAAATATATATTTTTATAAGTGATACACTTTTTTTCTGCCATCAAAGCAAAAGCGAAGTGACAAAATGTCAACCAGTCAGAACAAATTTGATCTTTAAAGGGGTCATATGACGTTGCTAAAAAGAACATTATGTTGTGTATTTGGTGTAATGCAATGTGTTTATGCGGTTTAAGGAAAAAAAATACATTATTTTCCACATAATGTACATTATTGTTGCTCCTCTATGCCCCGCCTTTCTGAAACGCGTCGATTTTTACAAAGCTCATCGTTCTGAAAAGCGAGGTGTACGCTGATTGGCCAGCTATCCAGTGCGTTGTGATTGGCTGAATACCTCAAGCGTGTGACTGAAATGTTACGGACCTTACCATACTGTCAGGTCGTGTCCCGCAGCGACGAGACAAAAACAATAAAACCCATTACAAACGAGGCATTTGTTGCATCCAGTGGGGACATAATTACTGATAAAAATGACTTGTACTGTCTTTTTACGTGTTAAACATAAAACCATGTCTGGAGAAACGACAAACAACAAGCGCTACTCTACTCAAAACTCACGTTTGAATCGTCAGTGGCAAATTCTTTAAATATAAAAAAACGTACTTACAGGCTGTGAGTCAGAAGCACCAGACTGTCCTTGCAAAGTTGGAACTGCCCCACTTTATAGAAACAGACTTCTACATTGTGTGAAGCGATTGGAATAGAAAACATAAGTAGGTGTGAATCGACAAGTAATTTATTTGTCTGGACTGAAGTACAATACCGAACAAAATGACAACCAATCATAACATATTTGGTGTTTAATTAATGGAAAAACAAGACTTTAGACTTATAAAATGTCACTGTAGGCGGAGCTTCATTGTGTGGAACACAAAAGGAGATGTTTTGAAGAATGTTAGCAAATAGAAATTGCATCAGAAATAGATGTTTTCCAACAAATTTACAGCGTCAAGTTATTTGTTTGACCAGACTAAAACTACAATGCTAATCAAAATAACAACCAAATTTAATTGATGACTTTAGGCTAATATGATTTCACTGTGGGTGGAGCTATGTTGCATGAGGTGATTGGAATAGAAATTGTGTCAGAAATAGGTGTGATGCAACAAATTTACAGTGTTAAGTAATTTGTTTGCCTGGACTTATGCACAATGCTAATCAAAATGACAACATTTTTGATGTTTAATTTATGAAAAACAAGAGTAATGAGATTTCACTGTGGGCGGGGCTACAATGCATGAGGGGATTCTAATAAAAACATAGCAGAAGAAAGTGTGGCGTGATTAGTTTACAGAGTGAAGTCATTTGTTTGTCCAGACTAAAAGTACATTGCTAAACGAAATAACCAATAAGAAATTATTTGAGATTTAATATACAGCTATTTGAAGAAAAAAAACATTATAAAAATGCGATTTCACTGTGGATGAGGCTGACACGACAAAAATAGAAACCCAAAACTTGAAATAAAATAGAAAAATAGGCTTTGTCACTTGCTTTGTGTTGCGCCTGATTTGGGAAAGTTAACAAAAGCAAATTTCGTAGTTGGGGGCGCCGGCGCCACCAGTGCATGTTTAACTGATAAGAGCAAAAATAACTTTAAATGCTCGTTCATTTTTGTTTCACCTGACAGCTCATTATGCAGCTCATTATGCGGGCCTTTGTCTTCTCAGGTGTGAATCACAGCATTATTCATGATCATTCACGCCTACTCGCATATACCTTTTCTACACAAAAAGTGTCTTAGAACATTTAAATCAATATATTGTTTTCTGTGAATGAGTGAGTAAGATGATTTTCACATAATTTTGAAGCAAAAACCCTAGACTTCAAGATCCAGTTCTCAAAAGTCTTGTGATCAAATGTTCTATATGTGTTTTATGGCCTTATTTCGTTGAGTTTAAAATTGTAGTTTTTCACTAAACCCGCATAAATGTTGTTTTCTCAAAAACACAATCACGTACATACATGCTGCTCACATATTATTGTAGCCCAGTTTGTGCTGATTACAGTGTTATT